TTTTTTACCATTACCATTATATTTGTAGTCACAAGCTATCAGTAATTAAATAATTAGATAGATATTTAAAAAAAAAATCTGTACTTAAATAATTTTCAATTGTTGTGCTGATAAACATAATAAGCACTCAGATTTTTTAGTATTTAAGTATATATAAATAATTGTAGTGATATATTTGTTCTAAAATAACATATGTCAAACTACTTAAAAAGAAACATATCACATTGTGGAAAAGAAACCCAATTTCGTATATATTGTGTATTTCTAGCAATAAATAAAAGTCAACGTGGTGAATAGAGGGGTGTTAGCATTTTTACCAATTTTAACTCTTTCTCAAACGAGTGGAGCCAAAAAAAAAAAAAAATTCAAATCACTTAAATCACACAAATTCAACAGGCGCACAAAGAAACTTTTAAAATTGATATAATCTTCTGATGCCGTCATTAATTACCATAATATCTCGCAATAGAAGGCTTCCTTCAAGTGCTTATTTAAAAGACTAAGAGGGAGATTATGGTATGAGTTCTCTTGTGTTGAGTAAGAGAAAACGTAGAGATCAATCATCGTCGAAAGCTTTGTCTCTTTCACTGAGATCCTCGACAAAGTATCTATGTCCCGGCATATAAACCAGTCATCTGTCGATGAAAATATTGCAATATTCTTACAATTTGGTTCATCAAAAGATTCAGAACCGACGATTAGTGATGATATTATTGCTCGGCAGATTCAACAACAATATCAAAATAATTTGATGCTTGACGATGCTGCTATTGCTTTGCAGATTCAGCAAGAAGGAGGTATGTAAGTCGTTTAATTTATATATATAGTTTTTAACAATAGCAAAATATTTGTATGATTTCGTTTGTCTCTAGTTTTTTTTATCAAAATCGAAATATCTTTGTGACTTACAACGCAGTCATTAATTATACCTAATTCATCTCTTATTTTATGTTTTTATATAAACTCATATAACGATCTAATAATTAAGTTGTTTGATTTTTTCATAGAACTAGAATAACCTCGCTTTTGTATCGAAACTTTACAACAGCTTGTGTGCAATCTCATTTACATGATGATGATGAAGGATTGGCAAGAATTCTATATACTTTGTGCTAAGTACACATCA